CTGATTATATAATAACCATTTATAATCAACAGACACTGTGCGAGGTACATAATAGCGATATATTTTTTTTTCGCTAAACCCTAATATGTGCGCCAGACGAGGCGAGAAGCGAACAGCCATATCGGGATGACAGCGTGCTTCCCTCCCATCGCCACCGCGTGAACGATAATTTCTACGCGAACGCGCTCTGTTTCCCAGTCATAGATAAGAAGTCTCCCCTGTGGCATATATTTTTGAATTGCATCCACGCCTAATATCGGTGCAATTTGTTCCGTTATATCTTTATTAATCATATCTATCATAATTTTTGGTTCTCTCGCATGACCTAGCATGCTAAATTTCGGGACGTACTTAAACATGTCAATCATAATTGGGTGAGCACTGTTATCACAAACACTAATAAACTGAATACTAAAATCATTATCATTTGCTATGATGCTGTAGTAATTTTTGGGATGCAAAAAATTAACCAGCGCCACCTCATAATCCATGGAAGGATCCAACATTAGCGGCGAAATGACGTTTTCAAACGCAAGAAGTGTTGTGCGGGAAAACATCTTTCGATGCAGTACTGGTAATATATATGTACTGATTGTCAGTCTCCATGGTGGAAGTTGATGACAGACTGAGAGTTGCATCAATAATTTCACCCTTTATAACAAAGATGTAAAGGATAATAAGACTTAAGGAGTAATTCATAACCTTATTTTATTAAAGATATCATATATATATAAATCAAACAAGTACAAATGCTACTGGAGAACATGAGATATTAATGATCATTTTCCAGCTGCCTCGGTAGCTTCGATGTCCGCCGCTGTTCGCAGGTAATTTCACCGTCCTCCGCATCATCATCTTCATTATACCTGGGTCGTTTGTTTCTAATGTCCGGTCCAGGCAAAAGGAGAGGACTCGCGCACAGCAGCGAAACAGATATCTTCAAAGGCATACACCGCGCTGCAAAGTCTTGTAAAAGCTCAATGTATGCATGGCTCCAACTGCCTCCTTCCACTTCAACTGGAAATAAGATCTCCCGAATATTCATCTCTTGAAGCTGATTAAACAATGAATCGAGACATTCACCCAAATTTCTTAGTCGGTTTTCCGATCCGTCACACGCCAATCCATCAACATAATGTCTATCCATACTCGACTTTAATTGTTTCATGGCAATTTCATTATTTTCCAGGGCTCTCCCGGGACCAAAGTGGGCAACGAGATAGATAATTACAGGCCCATCTCCCTGTTTCACACTAACGACCCCGGTAGCACATCTGTCAGCTACAATAGCCCTTGAGGTAGAAAATAACCGCCTTTTTGATCTGTAGTAATCAGCATATGCATATTCTTTTTCCAATATGCCCGATGTAGCGTAAGCAGTCTTTCCACATGCATTAGCAATGACGCATACGGCGGTGTCTTTACACAGCTCATGCTGGAGAATACCTCCTTTTCTAATCAACAGGGGGTATAGATAATTCGGGAGATAATCCTCGCGAGGTGACCTCGCACTGACAGAAGGGGCTTCCATTAGCGGTCGTTCTTCTTCCTCCATCTCTTCATTAATCATCTCTCTGTAGCGCCTGACAAATTGAGGAACGGCAACAACAGTAGCAGGGCGCTGACGGAGACACTTCCTCGGCCATCTTCTTGCGCAATCGAGGCAGTAGTATAACTCATCACCGCTCGTATCCTCGCTTTATACCCATAGGGTCCTGTCGTTACTTGCTCATGCATGTCAGCACCCCGCCCACTTAATGCGTTACAATCATCCGCACAATCGATAGCCCATTTCAAAGGCAATAGACTGTTGATTGTATAAACTGGCGAGTCTGCGATATTTTGAAATCGTGCGTAATGCTTCTTCCTGCGGGGCATGCTTTAAATTTTCTACAGCATCATCAACTTCTTGCTGGTAGACTTGTTCAGAGTGGTTTGCAAGAAAGGCTCGGTATGTCTCCCACAATGACACAACAATATCGTGTTTGTACTGAGCTCGATAAAATTTTATCACCTCTCTTCGAAGCTCACTACCTAGAACTTTGAATATACATTTTCTTCATCGTCGCTGCTGGTGTTGCTGTTGTTGGACGCACTGCTTGTGCTCGCGCGCGAGGACGCGTTGCTGAAGAGTTCTCCGTTCTCACTCATGTTTATGCCGTTATTGCGTCTTACATACACACGCTTCTGATTATAGAATCGCCGGTTTTATCCTCTCTCGAGGCCATTAATAGGGGTTCCAACGCATCTTACTCTGTGCAGACATAAGGGCGGACATTGGCTTAACTTTTACATTCCCACCTGCCTTATGAACACCTGTGAGATACCGCTTAGCCGCCGGACTGCGCATATAATCATATGGTAATGGCGCAAAGTTATGTAATATTTTCAAAAGTTCCTTTTCTTTTACAGAAAACGAGTGCGATGATGATGAGGATGCAAAATACTTGATAACATCGAGTATATTTAACCCTGTTATAGGAGATTGTATCTGACCTAATTCGTCCCACCGAATTAAAGACTGCTTACGGTAAAATTCCAAGAGAGATTTTGCATAATCTTGCTGATTTGTTTTGAAGAAAATTCCTACCAAGTGTTCTAATGAGGGATTTATCGGTGTATTCTGATTGTTGCCAGGGATTGCTTTTTCAAGCCTTTGCAGAGCTGCAGAGGGAAGGGGTACTGTCATTGCCTCATTAGCGGCGGAACGCCTGCATTTTCTCACATTCTTTTTGTTTATTTTCTTGCGAAAAGTAGAGCGCGGGATAATTAGCGAGCGCCCGAGCCCGCCCCGCGTCTATTTCCCGCGCAGACATCGCGACAACGTGCGCTCGCCCGCCGCGCCGCGCCCGCCCGCTGCACCCGCCGCTATGACAGCTGTCGTTCGCGTGCCCCCCATTTATTGCGGTATTTTTAGCTGCCATGGCGATATCCGGAGGCGATTCTAATATGTTCTTGTTGACACCATCATTAATCTTGTTAGTATCATTACCGTTCGGGTGAGGTCAGAGACCAGGTGGGTCAGATGTCGGTCGACCGTGGACTTTGGAACAAGACAATACTCTTTCATATTTCTAATCAAATTAAAGATGTAAATGCATTTACAGCAAGCGGGAGTAGAATGGATAAATATTTCCCCCGGTGCGAGATGAGAGAATTTTTTCTTCTTTTTAAGAGACGTTTTCTTCAGAGACACTTCCTTGATAGCTTGCCGATATCGTTTCAATTTCTTAATAATACTTTTTTCCGTGGTTAAGTTTTTCCTTAAGAAAATTTGAAAAAACTTCGGCAATGCAATTGATCTGCTGTTTATCCAGCTGTAATATAAAGCCGGAACGTCGTTTTGGCTTTAGTGAACAGATAAACGATAGTACATCAACAAATCGAGGTGTGAGGGGCTGCCTTGTCATGGTGCAGGCTGCATGTCATCAATCGTAATGTATGAATTGAATTTGTCGGGATATCCAATCCAGCGAACAAGATATTCTCTCTGCTTTTTATTTCTGTTCCACCTCGATGACAGGATCTTGTACGGGTAAACACTTGGCAGTGATGTCGGGACGAGCTCCTCTCGATAAAACAAACCTTGGACTTCTTCGCCGCTTAAATCTTCCAGATAATACCCGACTATGTTCTGACGATTGTCAATCTGTCGAATTTTAAATATCTCCTCCGTATTTTGTATTTCATATCCCTTGCGAAATGCGTCGGTACGAGAGCGCGCTGCGATGCGCACAGTGTCCCCAACCTTTATATTCTGATTGCTAGCATGCGATCGGTCCTTTTTTATATGCACATTCAATGAACGAGCATACATTTGTCGAAAGAGACGTTGACACTGCGCCCGCGTGTAATGGCGGTGCACGTCCAGTGGCGCGGCGCCTTTCAAACCCGCGTGCGCGCGCTCATTATAGGCTAAAACAATATCCGGGAGAACGTCGATATACCTCAGCGTATCTTTTAAGGTTAAATATTTATATATGCGTTCCTTGAGGGTTCTGATGTGTCTCTCTGCAATGCTAGCCTTTATTTCCTTCGAATGCGTGGTATACCACTGCATCTTATGTTCGCGCAGTAAGCCGTTCACTGTATTATTTACAAACTCTCGCCCTGCATCGGTGAAGAGGTGAGTTAAACCTTTAGCATCCTCAGTATTTAACACCGATTTTAGTGCGCTCGCAACCTCCGTCTTGTTTTTACTCTTTAAGGGTCTTACTTGCATATAACGACTAAACACATCTACACACACGAGCAAATAGTTGGTTTTATCGTTTTGTCTTGATAAGTTTCGCATGTCTGCCAGATCACACGTTAAGATTTTGCGAGGTCCTATAGCCATTGTTTGGCGACGCGGGAATTTTTTGCGAGTATGTCTGTGAAGAGTATACACACGCTGCGATGACAAAGCATTTTTCACATCCGATTGTGTAATATTATCCTTTCCTAATTGCGTGCGAGCGGCGTCTAACAGCGCTTGTATTCCACCTAAGCTGTGGGGCTTTGTATAGTCTTCATACAAGTCCTTTAGAACTTGCATGGTTCTGTCGGTGATCACCATTGGTAGACAAGCTGATGTGGAAAATATTCACAGAGGATATTACTGCGAAACTGCAGTTTATCTGGAGTTTCACAACCGAGGTCTATGAGTAAATAACGCGAGATTTCGAGAGAACAACCTTTTTATATAACTCCAAAAACCGCTTGGCTTCACTCTTGCCATATAACTGCCTACCGAGGCATTCTAACTGTCCGAGATCTCTCTGTTTTAGCAAAATAAAATGAGAGGTATTTAGTGAAATGTTGCGGCTGTGCTTCCCTTTCATAAATACATTTTGAACGAGGAGTACGACAGATATGTTTTCGTGTCGTCCCTTTGTAAAGATATTACTTACAATGTCATTATTAGCCGCTTCTATAAAGCAATCATCCAGTATATATAATATGCGGTCATTCGGTTTTGTCTTATGATTGATGGGATCTATAATGTCTTTGTTAACAATAAGTTTGTCAGATAAAGAGGTTTCCTTTTCTAGCGGATGAGATTCACTCCCGCATACAATTATACAATCAAACTGTTTCTGATAGTGCACAACAATTTTTGTGGCGAGATGCGTCTTTCCCGAATTAGTGACTCCTGCAATTATTATTCTTGCGGGGTGAGCAAAGAGATCCAGCAAGTTCTCCTTAAAACAGGAGTATGGAGTACTGTGCGACATGTTGAAGGACACAAATAAAAATGACACTTAAATTTTAGACATCGCCTATTTTATTGACTACAATATACAGAAAATATTATGTACATGTGTTAAGTATAGCCATTTTAAATAAAGTCATCATCACTATTTTCCTCTGCTTCCTCGATGAAGGGGTTCCCAGTTTGTGTTTTTCTGCGCTTTCGCGGTCTTGGGTTGCCAGATCGTTGCCTCCTGATGTTATTATTATAGTTGTTGTGTACAACAGACGGAAAGTGAAGGTGGCGGAGATACTCTCGTTTTCTCCATAGATGGCTTAATCTTTCCTCTCCTGTTGTGTTGTTGTTACCATGGTCTCGGTCTCCTCCTCCTCCTTCTCGCTCTCGCTCGCGTCGGTTGCCACATCGCGCACGAATTCTCCCCTCGTTTCCTCCTCCCCCTCTTCGCTCTCTGCCGCCTCGGAAAGGTGTTTAATGTCTGGATGACCATATGCTAGCGATTTATAGGCATTTACATACCAACGTTTATTATCGTATAATGACAGCCCGCGCTTTTTCATTTGCGTGGTCATCATTTGGCCTCCGACGTTGGTAATGCTCACCTGTTTAAAGAAATGCACTTCTTTTTCATGAAGAATGCGACGGAAATTGTCGTGTTTTAGCCTCCTCTTCTCAGCCCGACAAATTCCCTTTGCACCTGTGGATGTTTGATCGCTATTTAGGAGCAAGGAATAAGTCTTGGGCTCTAAGCAAAATGGCGTGCGTGGCAGCGTCAGCACCTTGATATAGAAAACTATCTACTACTTCACCTTGTCTGTCTATTATGATATAGCTGTAGGCACAGGCTTTGTGCTGTGCTATACATCTCTCCCCTCCACCAGTCTTGTCCATGAAGGCTTCAAAGTCGTAGATACACATGTGTGATGGTGCAAATGCTTTCCCATAATTCACGAAGGCGAGTTTACTCCCCTGCAACGGGTAAGTGATCTTTGTTGGCATCTCACACCCTGACATGTGAGATTCGGCTGATCTCTGATCGGGAAACGAAGAGAAACATGTGCGACAAAAGTGCTTGTGAACGTTCCTGCCTCTCATGGTAAATACGTCCATGTACTTATTAAAGTCTGTTATTAGACAGGCGTGCTCATTTTTAAGAAGAAGCAGGTGAAGACGCAGTCGCTCCTTGCTGTCTTCTCTTCCTTTTCTCACCTGTAATATGGCATATTTTTCGTGAGATATGTTCGTTTTTTCAAGGGTATAGACATAAATAGAGGCTATTGTCTCTCTCTAATTCTCCCAATGTTTCCCAGCTGGTGGGGAGTTTTCCCGCGTCATGTTTAATAAGGCGCGCACATTTAGCCGGAGTGTTGACCGCTCTGTGTAGATTATTTTTTGAGCGTCCAGCTGCTAGCCATTTTCCGGCCGCGAGGGATCGTATGACACAGTCTGTGTTACCTGTTGGGTTGAAGATATAATGAGCCCCTCGAACATCTTCAGGATATGCCACATGTCGTCCAATTGCTTGGGGAACTAGAAGATGTGATATCGTAATGTCGTGAGCATTAATGGATTCAAGATCGAGTCGCTTCCCTCATCTGATAACCACTCTTCTAGTTTAGCTTCTGCTTCCTCTGCCCATCCACATACAGCTCTTCTACACTCGTCTTCGCTAGATATTGCATAACTGCACAGTGTGATATCTTTTTCAATATGCGTGACATTGCCGGTAGTGAAGTCTATCTTGGAGAGGGTAATATTAAACCCTGTAAATGATTTCGTGGAAGGGGGAGGGCATCCGAGTGTGGAGCGGTGAATTTGTAAGACATCTGTAAAATAATCTTGATTTCTGCGCAGGTAATCAGACGGAGATGGCTGGTCTTGGTTAGGAATGCTGAAGCCGAGCCTTACGGCTGCCCCTTGAAATAATTCCCCCCTGGAGATAATATGCGGTCTCTACAATATTATCTTCTTCTTCTTTATCACTAATAACATCACTGTCACTTTCATAATATTTTCTATTCACACGAGCACGCGATATTTCCGGTTGTGCTGTAATAGACCTGGACGGTCCAGGTTGGGGCGAGAGAATCCGCGATGGTCCCGGTTGCGGTGTAATAGACCTGGACGGCCCGGGTAGGGGTGAGAGGGGACGAGTCGAGACTTGTTGTATGGGAAGGTCCTGCTGTAGGTTCCCTGCAAGACATAAACACAGTTATTACACAATAATGCGAGGAGGGGGTTATACAACATTCACTCCTCAAACCGTCTTTGTGAGAACTTGCCTGGTGTGGTATGAGACGATCGGTGAGTGGCGATCTTAGAACCTTTAGACCCCTTTCCAGCACCTGCTGTAAGGAATTAAGTATATGGTTAATCATTTGCCGCATGGGCAGACGTCTTTCAGGCGTATTCTGCTGTAGGTCTTAACTATCTTTCAATAATTTTCATGTCTACCCATACTTTAATACTCAGATTTCACTGTGTATGAATTAGCTTACCTCGAATGCATTGTTGACGGTGGTAATGCAGCCTTGCTGAGGGAATGTGTTGGTTGCAACCTGAACACAGCAAGCAAAGGTGGTTGTTGGACAGCTTCTTTCCACAGAGCTGGCAGTGAAGCTTGATGTTAGCCATTGTGAGTGCTATCACAGGGGAAGGCAAGATGTACTAATGTTTAGTGGTCGAGTTTCCACCCTTTTTATATCGGGTGACAGATGTGTGTATTTCTATTTGACGTTTTATAATGAATTCTATTAAATCATTTTGTGTTTATACAAGAGGAATAAAAAAAAATGATATTTAGTATAGAGATGTTTATAATCTTTTTCATTAAATTTAGATTCGTATATCTAAGATGCTTTGAGAGTGTTGAAACACAGCAAGGAAGGAAAAGTAATTATTTAATCGATATCTCCCAGACTCTGCAGTTGACCTGACATCTGTTCAGGATGCAGCTGACCTGTGTTTGAGCAGGCCTTCCTTTAATTATTAACGGCCGTCATTAGTGAAAGGGGTGATCAATGAGACGCTTCTTAACTATCACTAGCTAGAGGGCTTTTAATGATGGGAAAATAAAGACATATTGAGTACAACGAATTTTATACTCCTTTCCGCTGAACTCTATACTTATAAACGAGGTGCTTTTCGATTGTGGGGAACAAACTGTGAATATCTGATTAATTAGTGTCTGTGCCTGACTTCTGAGGGGATAACTTTATTATTGAGATGTTTTAAGACAATGTAGGCCATCCCACATGTTCAAACATGACGAATAGATGCTTTATTGATTTCGCTGACCTGACTCACATCGGTAATGGCTTAATTTTGCGCGTGACCTGGAGGGCGGTGGGAATGAAGGGGGGGACTTGGGTGGTTGGGGGACACCTGTTTGGTGTGCGTATTATTCCCATTAGCCACGGTTATTGATTTCCCGTAATCAATTATGATAATTACTTCCGGAAGTCATTAGGTCACTTCCTGTTATGACACGTCAGGTATGCATAGCGGGATAAGAGGGTAGTCATAGGGTGAGGCTGGTGAGTCCAAGGTGTTTTTGGGTGAGGGGTTGGGGTGGGAACCTGTGACACCTGCTCTTAGGATGATAGTTTGACCTGCGGCAGCAGGATCCATGTTTGTTTGTTGTTCTCTTCTTCCTCTTCTTCTTCTTCCTCTTTCTCGTATTCCTTATTATTATTATTATTATTGTTGTTTTTGAGGAAAAGGGGGGGGCACCCCTTCAGGTGTGCGTGTTCTCCATCATTAGTCATTGGTTATTGATTTTTAATCGATTACTTCCGGAAGTCATTAGGGCACTTCCTGTTATGACACGTTAAGGTACATAGGGGGGGGGGGGGGGGTCCATGGGCTGATGATATATATATACATTTATGAGCTTAATATATATATATATATATATATATATATATATATATATATATATATATATATATATATATATATATATATATATATATATATATAGTAAAGAGAGAGAGAGAATGCGTTTAAAAAGTGGATGAGACAAGAAAACAAAGAGAAAGTGAATAAGTGCGAGGAGACAAGAACAAGAGAGTAGAACAGCCAATAAAATAAAGAGAAACAGTGAGGAAAGAGAGTAAGAAAAAATGAATGATGGTAGGTGGCGATGAGAGGAGAAAGGGAAGTGACGATTGAGAGAGAATGAGAAAAGAGAGGACGAGACGAGAGAGAAAGGGAGTGAGAGAGAAGAGGACTAAGGTGGACTCAAGAAGTGACTATGAAGAGAAAAAGGTAGTGAACAGAGTAGAGAGAGAGATAATAGTAGTGAGGCAGAGAGTGAGTGTGTGAAGCGTATGCGCTGCCTTATTAGATAGGGTTAATAGGATGTA